AAATGTCAAGACAAATCCATTTCGGTTATTTTCTCAATTCCAATCGAATGCAACTGGATATAGTATAGTATGAACTGGCGATCATAACATATGTGGATAATACTAAGCTAAGTGTTGTCGAGATGAGAATGATTAGGTGGATGAGTGATTTTAAACTTAGAGACAAAATGCGAAACGATTATATCTGTGATAGAGTTGGTGTAGCTCCAGTGACGGACAAAATTAATGAGTCGTCTTAGATGATTTGGTCACATTAAGCGTCGACCATCTGATGATCCGATTAGAAGAGTTGATGTTTTAGATTCGACTTATGTTAAGATAGACAAAGGTAGACCTAGGAAGACTTGCGCTTATTGTATAAAAAATGATCTTAATTTATTAGAATTAAATGAAAATATGACACTAAATAGGACGCAATGGAAAAAAAGGATTCATGTAGCCGACCCCACTTAGTGGGATTAAGGCTTTGTTGTCGTTGTTTTACTTTTGAGATATAGATCCATAACTATTATTCATTTGACAATTTTCTCTAGAATGTAATAATAATGTTTTAAAATTTTAATTTATATATGGTATCGATCTTATTGTTCCTTTAATTCAAATGTGTGATCAAACTAAATTATTGAAATTAATTTATAAATTTTAATGTACTTTAATAACATTTTACTAAAAATAATTATATAAATAAAGCATAAAATCGATAATGCCTTACCTTAACATTCAGTATATGGCTTGATTTGCCTCTTTCTTAACATTCATTATATGGCTTGATTTTCCTCTTTTTAGCTTGCACATGCATTGTAAAGCTTTTTTCAATCTTCATAACATTAATTAACTTGTCTCTTATTGCTATCTTATATCTAAAATCTCACTAAAAAACCCTAACAAAAGCTTGACTTTGGCTTTATTTGCACGGATGTCTCTCCTGTCTTTTTTCTCCTTCGGCTATGACACAAACCCACTCTCTAGCGAAAAACGATGTGCTGATCCCATCTTCATATTTGGAAGCCAGTTGACATCACCCTAGTGCTTCATCACATTCAACTGCTCAATGTCGCATCCTCCAACAAGCTTTCGTCTCTTATCATCTTCTCCTTCTTTGCGCACAGTGGCTCACTCCTTCCTCCAGCTTAAACACGCATCATAGGCGCTCGATTCTTCTTCTTCTCCTACACATGAAACCGTTTATGCTCCTCTTCTTCCAAGATTCGTCTCTCGCATGCCATAGACACACATGAGTCGTTAAAACTATCGAAACTAATACCGACTCCTTTTTTTGCTCAAATGTGACATTGTCAGCAAGGTATGTAACTTCTTTTCGACTCGCTCACACATGTGTTTCTTCCTTCACTTTCTTCTTTCTTCTTCTTCTCTTGTCTGTCACTCAGTTCTCTCTATTTGGTTTGAAAGAGGTGAAAGAAGCATTTATCTTTTAAATACTGACAATTAATTATATCATTATTACGATTTCCCTCTTTTTTTATGATTATACAATTTATTATAAATTTCTTAGATGTCATATTAGAATTGTACTTTAATCATCCTACTGGCTCTTATGTCAAGCTTGTATTATTTAATCAGAAACCTTGGTTGTGATATCACTTTTATCACAACCCGATTTGGGGATTATGGATTTAACCAAGATGGGATTTGTCAGTCGGTAAGGTTGTATTTGAGCCAAGTCGACCAGAGTATATCACGATTCGGACTTGGCTTTGTATATTTTTAAGTTATTCATGTTCGGCGTTAGCTTGTGTCGAGTTTTCATATATTGTTCAAGTTTGGCATGTTTAAATTTTTTAGTGTTTGAACTTGATTTGTTTATAGCAAGTGAACGAGTATTTAAACGAGCTAATAAATGAGTAAAATTTTGATGAGTATCAAGATTTTCATATAAAAAATTCAATCAGTAATTTCACAAATCTTAACAAATCTGCAGATTTATTAATTATAAAACAGGATTATAAACTCTGTAAAATGAAAGGTAACTCATGATCTATGATCATATGGTATATAATCTCTTATATTTTAGCATGATCATACTTCCAAGTTTGCCCCAACACTCATATTCAATTGTAGGTATTGTTTTTCTCATAGTTATATGCCTTTGTCCTTTTCCTAACTTTTTGGATAATTTAGTTGTCTTTTATTTTGAGTTGTTCTATTATCCTTATTTTTAATCATATATAACTCATAATTATTGTACTGAACTTTATCAATATCACTTTTTAATCGGGCCGAACTTTTTAGAAGAGTGAAAAGGGGAGAAAACTAGATACTAGAGTTTTTGAGATCCCTGCACGTCGCGTTATGGTTGTTGCCTTCGATTCATGCACGTCGCGTTATGGTCGTTGCCTTCGATTCATGCACGTCCTAGTGACTCGGAATTTTGTATGTCTCAGGGGAAACCTAGAGACTCAAAACTACGAGAGGCTAGAAGGAAATTAAGGTTTGCGAGAGTTTAAATTTAATTTTAATGGACATTTAATACATACCACATAAGTCATGTATTTTCACATCTAACACCTAAACTTCAATAAAATAAATATATAATTAATAATTAATCTAAAATATTATTGATATAATAGTTTATTATTATTAAATCTATAATTAAATAATCTTTTTTTAAAAAATATATCACATATGATATGAGTTATCATCGAGCTTAATATCTAGTAAGTTACTTATTGAACAATAAACGAGTTTGTTCATAAACATAAATAAACAAATTCGATTATGTTTGTGTTTAGTTAGTTTAAGTTCCGAGCTTTTAATAATTGTTCAAGCTTGTTTATTTACTAATTTGAACGAATATGATCGAGTCTTAATCGAGCCGAGTTCGAGTTATTCATTGAGTATATTGGTTCATTTACAACCCTAACAGTCGAACAGTAATAATTTTGTTTTTCTATTTTTCATTTTCTATAACTAGTAGTTTATAATCCAAATAAAATGAAAGAGTCACTAAGAAATTATATTAAAGTAATACAGTTAAATTTACCTTATTTCGATTATGCACATCTTCTATCAATATTTCATTTATTATTCATCTTTTAATTTTTTAATATAGTGCGACAACGAGCTAGAAAATGCATTAGTACATCTACTCTAAACTACATTAATGTAATGAAAATGGAATGATATGCATGCCAGTTAGAAATACTAACAATCAATAAAAGAATTGGACAGTTTACTTTTTCACATTGATAGTTCATAACATTAAATATGTTGTACTATATTAGTAACATGTTTATATCATTTATATCTGCACAACCGTCGCATGAGCACCATTTAAAATATTAAGGTACATCAATACCAATATATTTTTTTAATTACGTGCACGAGTATCTTTGCGTTCCCCTATTAACGCCATAAAAGGGTGAACATAGTCCTAATTAAATATACACATACAATCAATCTATGCAATTCATATCATTTATATGTTTGTTTCATTCAATTCTATCTTTTAATAGGTTTAACATTAGTATTTCATAAATAGATATTCATCGCAGTGATATGACCAACATCTAAATGAGTGCATATGCCACAATTAAATGGTGTAATTTGGCTTAGTAATAGTCAAGCAAGTACGTTGACATCGGATTTAATCCAAACCATAATAGGAAAAACATATCTTATTATCGAAAACAAAGAAGTGGTTACAATCGACACACTCGGAAGGAAAAAGACAAAAACACAACTCAAGCAAAACTACTAAACTGTATCCAAATGGTGGTGGAGGTCAGCTAGGTGGATCAGAATGACATACGAGTGTGGTGGTAACAAATGAATGCAAGTGACAGTGAGAGGCAGGCAAGAACTGCAACGACAACAAGTATGATTGTTGTCCTGGATGGTTACAATGAGGAGTTGGTGTGGGTATCAGCGGAACAACAAGAAGGAAATGTTCCCTGACTGTCCTAAACGGCAGCGACATGATGGGAGGCGGAGTGGAGGTTGGAGGTTGGAGGCTGTAGGAAAACAATAAGACGAAGGTGTTTCTAGGCAGCAACAAAGGTATCTGATGATTGGATAGCGTCGACAATGATGTTGGTGGGTTGGAATTTCAGGGGTAATGAAGCGGCAAGGGCTTTGGGGGGAGGAAATGGCAATGGCGATGGCTGGAATTGTAGAAAACAACCGAAATGTTGTATAGGGCAGCTGTAGCAATGAAGGGCGTGCGGGCAGCGGCATGGGGAGGATGTGGAAGGGAATAAAGAATACAAACATCTTCTAGGTGAACAACTTGTTCACATTCTAATCAAAGTATTACCAGATGCAAACTCTCAGAAATTATCAAACAAACTTGGATTGGAGGGGTTTCATTTATTCTCGAGAGAGTGTGAAAGGCGTTTAAAATTTTCACCAAATTGGATTCACACCGACCAATTATTGTATGCTTTTTTACTTCTAATGTTGCTCATTGATCTTCTGTTGGATCCTTAATGCCCGCTTTATGTGGACTATGTAATTATTTTGTAATTAATTTTTTGACCTATTTTTTTCTTTTCATATTAAATTATTTCCTACGATTGTATAATTATATGCTTGTGAAATACACTCAAATCAATTTTCTCTAATATTTGTCAATTATGATTTGAAAGAACTCATCTAACCAATGAGTTTAACTCACTCTAAAAGTAAATAGTGTTCAACTTTTGAAGATGACAAATTTAAAATAATGTTCTTTTATTTAAGCGTAAAAATGAAAGATCAAGAGAGTATAATTTCACTATAATTTTGGCTTATATATGATTCAACCTACTACACCTTGTTCAGACACTTGTGTACATAGTTGTGGTTTCCAACAAACTGTAATAAATGCTCTACTTCTGAAAGCTAGCATCGGTTCCCTAAAATTCTTATTGTGATTTTTACAATATGAAACCATTACATTCCATAAATGAGCCATCTCTTATTTGAATATGACTATTCGAATTGAAATAAATGAAATTGATATTCTGTATCATTTCAATTACAGAAACCTTTGTAATTTGCAGATTTAAACCAGCAAAGGATTGTTGAGGAAGGAGGGTTAGATGCTCTTCTTTTGCTTCTTGAGTCATGTAAAGATGAGATGATTCAGCGACTCACAGCTGGTGCTATTGCTAACTTGGCAATGAATGGTAACTTTTGGACGAGTATAACTTATAGTGACTTCACTACAAATGAAGGGCTTTTATTATGAAAGTATATAAGTTATCTTTTATAAACTAGATAAGCTTGCAATCTTTTTTAAACTTGAGAATTTTTTATCATAAATTCTTAGCTCTCTAGCCTTTATTTTCTTAATGTTTTTTCCTACATTTTTCATTTACCTTGTATTCATATTTTAGTTTCTATACTAGCAGTTGCTTGCACACATATTTGGCGAACGTGCACACATAATCGGCGAATGATATTGTATGGACTGTATTATCTATTATGAAGGTTATTTGGCGAACGATATTGTATGGACTGTATTATCTATTATGAAGGTTCATATGCATTGTTCTTTTTAGAATGTGTGCTATTGATAATTTTCTACCTTAAGCATCACATTTATGCTCATTTCATTTTAGTTGTGGAACTTCAATGTGGCCTCAAACCAATTTTATGTTATTATTTTTGGTTTTACCTTCTAATTGTACAAGTTAGCTCAATTGATTTTCTCTAATTACTATGAGCATTCATAATTTGCAATTAACCACTTTAAATTACTTTTTCTGGTTAGTTTTATGATCTTCTTCTCTACTTGTTCCATGTAAAGTTTCATCAACAATGAGGTTTGGTAACTTTGTCATTTTTAAGTCTCACCAACATCATTTCTTATTATCAATTTCATTTTTTATTTTATTATATATATATATGTGC